GTCCCTTCCCCCTCCCCACCCCCCGCCCCTCCCCCGTACCTGCTCCTGTCCCAGCACGAGGACCCCGTGGGGTCTCAGGGGGTGCCCCGGGGCGAGACCCCCCCCCTGCCCCGCGGGACCCCGTCCTGGAAGCTGCTCCAGGTGCCCCCCGAGGCCGCCCAGGTGACACAGCCGTGGTGCCACCTCCCCGGGGAGGGGGACAGGGACAGGGCCACCGCCTGGGGGGGGGGAAAAAGGGTCAGGGACCCCCAAAATGACCCAAAATACACCCCAAATAACTCAAAATAACCCAAAATCCACCCCAAATAACCCAAAATCCACCCCAGGTGACACAGCCGTGGTGCCACCTCCCTGGGGAGGGGGACAGAGACAGGGCCACCGCCTGGGGGGGTGAAAAAGGGTCAAAGACCCCCAAAATACACCCCAAATAACTCAAAATACACCCAAAATATCCTAAAATAAACCCCAAATATCCCAAAATAACCCAAAATCCACCCCAAATATCCCCAAATCCACCCCAGGTGACACAGCCGTGGTGCCACCTCCCTGGGGAGGGGGACAGAGACAGGGCCACCGCCTGGGGGGGGAAAAAGGGTCAGGGACCCCCCCAGAGACCCCCAAAATAATCCAAAATCCACCCCAAATAACCCAAAATCCATCCCAGATCCCCCCCAGGTGACACAAAGGTGGTGCCACCTCCCCGGGGAGGGGGACAGAGACAGGGCCACCGCCTGGGGGGGTGAAAAAAGGGTCAAAGACCCCCAAAATACACCCTAAATATCCCAAAATATCCAAAAATAACCCAAAATCCACCCAAATCCACCCCAGGTGACACAGCCGTGGTGCCACCTCCCCGGGGAGGGGGACAGAGACAGGGCCACCGCCTGGGGGAAGGGGAAAAGGGGTCAGGGACCCCCGAAATACACCCAAAATATCCCAAAATACACTCAAAATATCCCAAAATCCACCCAAAATAACTCCAAATCCCCCCCAGGTGACACAGCCGTGGTGCCACCTCCCCGGGGAGGGGGACAGGGACAGGGCCACCGCCTGGGAGGGTGAAAAAAGGGTCAGGGACCCCCGAAATCCACCCCAAATATCCCAAAATATCCCAAAATCCACCCAAAATAACCCAAAATATCCTAAAATCCACCCCAGACCCCCCCAGGTGACACAGCCGTGGTGCCACCTCCCTGGGGAGGGGGACAGAGACAGGGCCACCGCCTGCGGGGGGTGGGACAACATCAGGGACCCCAAAAATAACCCAAAATACACCCAAAATATCCCAAAATAACCCAAAATATCCTAAAATCCACCCAAATCCACCCCAGGTGACACAGCCGTGGTGCCACCTCCCCGGGGAGGGGGACAGAGACAGGGCCACCGCCTGGGGGGGGGGGGAAAAGGGTCAGGGACCCCCCCAGAGACCCCCAAAATAACCCAAAATATCCCAAAATCCACCCAAAATAACCCAAAATCCATCCCAGACCCCCCCCCAGGTGGCGCAGACGTGGTGCCACCTCCCTGGGGAGGGGGACAGGGACAGGGCCACCGCCTGGGGGGGGGACACAGGGTCAGGGACCCCCCAAATACACCCAAAATACACCCTAAATATCCCAAAATTCACCCAAAATAACCCCAAACCCACACCAAACCCCTTTAACCCCCCAACCCCCCCTTTAAGCCCCCCTAAACTCCTCTCAGCCCCCCCAAACTTTCTCAAACTCCCCCCCAAATCCCCCTCAGACCCCCCAAACTCCACCCCAAACTTCCCTTTAAACCCCCCAAACTCCCCTATGAACCCCCGATATCTCCCCAAATCGTCCCCAAACTCCCTTTAAACCCCCCAAAATCCCCTCAAACCCCCTTTAAACCCCCCAAAACCCCCTTTAAAGCCCCCCAAATCCCCTTTAAACCCCCAAAACCCCATTTAACCCCCTCAACTGCCTTTAACCCCCCAAAACTCCCTTTAAACCCCTCAAACTCCCCTATAACCCCTCGATATCTCCCCAAATCCCCCAAACTCTCCTCAAACCCCCTTTAAACCCCCAAAATCCCTCAAACCCCCTTTAACCCCCCCAAACTCCCTTAAACCCCCTCAAACTCCCCTATAACCCCTCGATATCTTCCCAAATCCCCCCAAACTCCCTTTAAATCCCCAAAGCCCCTTTAAACCCCTCAAACTTTCTCAAAGCCCCCAAAACCCCTTTAACCCCCAAAACCCCCTCTAAACCCCTTCCCCACCTGATCATCGACGAGCAGCTCCATGGGGCGACCCCCCCAGGCGAGCAGGACTCCCCTCAAACCCCCTTTGACCCCACCAAAATCCCCTTTAAACCCCCCAAACTCCCCTCAAACCTCCTTAAAACCCCCCAAAACCCCCTTTGAACCCACAAAACCCCTTTAAACCCCCAAACCCCTTTAAACCCCCAAAACCCCTTCAAACCCCCAAATCCCTTTAAACCCCTCAAACTCCCCTATAACCCCGATATCTCCCCAAATCCCCCAAACTTTCTCAAACCCCCAAAATCCCTTTAACCCCCAAAATCCCACCTGGTCATCGACGAGCAGCTCCACGGGGTGGCCCCCAGGCGAGCAGGACAAGCCCGTTGGCTGCCCAGGGTCCCATAACCCCCAAACTCCCTCAAACCCCTTCGAACCCCCAAAACCCCTTTAAACCCCCTCAAACCCCTTTAAACCCCCAAACCCCTTAAACCCCTCCAAACTTTCTCAAACCCCCAAAATCCCCTTTAAACCCCTCAAACTCCCCTCAAACCCTGATCATCTCCGAATCCCCCAAACTCCTCAGACCCCTTAAATCCCCAAACTCCCTCAAAGCCCCAAGCCCCCAAGACGCTTTAAGCTGCTAAACTCGCCTATGACCCTCGATGGTCTCCATCAAACCCCCCAAACTCCCTCAAACCCCCTTTGAACCCCCAAAACCCCTTTAAACCCCCTCAAACCCCTTTAAACCCCCAAAACCCTTTAAACCCCTCAAACTTTCTCAAATCCCCCAAAATCCCTTTTAAACCCCCTCAAACTCCCTCAAACCCCTCGATATCTCCCCAAATCCCCCAAACTCCCCTCAAACCCCCTTTAAATCCCCCAAACTCCTCAAGCCCCTTTAAACCCCCAAAACCCCTTTAAACCCCTCAAACTCCCTATAACCCCTCGATATCTCCCAAATCCCCCAAACCCCTTTAAACCCCCAAACTCCCTTTAAACCCCTTTAAAGCCCCAAAGCCCCTTTAAACCCCCAAACCCCTTTAACCCCCAAACTCCTTTAAACCCCCAAACTCCCCCAAAACCCCTTTAACCCCCAAAATCCCCACCTGGTCATCGACGAGGCAGCTCCATGGGGCGGCCCCCAGGCGAGCAGGACGAGCTCGTTGGGCTGCCCGGGGTCCCATAACCCCCAAACTCCCCTCAAACCCTTTTAAACCCCCCAAATCCCCTTTAAACCCCCTCAAACCCCCTTTAAACCCCCAAACCCCCTTTAAACCCCCTTTAAACCCCCTCAAACTCCCCTATAACCTCCCGATATCTCCCCAAATCCCCCCCAAACTCCCCTCAAACCCCTTTTAAACACCCCAAACACCCCCAAACTTTCTCAAACCCCCAAACTTTCTCAAACCCCCCAAAATCCCCTTTAACCCCCCAAAATCCCCACCTGGTCATCGACGAGCAGCTCCATGGGGCGGCCCCCCCAGGCGAGCAGGACGAGCTCGTTGGGCTGCCCGGGGGCCGCGTACGAGAAGGGGGTCCCCAAATTCGGGGAGAGCCCCCCGGGCCGGAGCCAAAGACACGCCGAGAGCGCCCGCAGAGGCCGCCGCAGCGCGGGCCGGACACGCGCGAACATGTAATTGGTGCGGAGGGGGAAGGACACGCGGAAAAAGCGACCCACGGGGGAGCCTGAGGGGACAGGGGACAATACGAGGGTCGGGGGGGTCCAAAAACCCCATCCCTGGGGGAAGGGACACCTGGAAATCCCCGCGTGGGGACCCCCGAGCCTGTGGGGACACGGAATGGGTGGGGAAGGGGGGGAAGGACACGCGGAAAAAGCGACCCCCGGGGGAGCCTGGGGGGACAGGGGACAATGATCGGGTCGGGGGGTCCAAAAACCCCATCCCTGGGGGAAGGGACACCTGGAAATCCCCGCGTGGGGACCCCCCGAGCCTGTTGGGTACATGTAATTGGTGCGGAGGGGGAAGGACACGCGGAAAAAACGACCCACGGGGGAGCCTGGGGGACAACACGAGGGTCAGGGGGCGGGGGGGCTCGGAGGGGTCCAAAAACCTCAGGGGTGCCACCCCTGGGGAAGGGTGGGGTCCCGTGGGGACCCCCCGAGCCTGTGGGGTGCGAGGGGGAGGGAAAAAGCGACCCACGGGGGAGCCTGGGGAGACAGGGGACAATAATTGGGTCGGGGGGGCTCGGAGGTCAAAATCCCTCCTGGGGGTCCCCAGCCCTCAATCCCTGGGAAAGGACACCGGGACCCCCGTGGGGACCCCCGAGCCTGCAGGGACGTGTGATGAGTGGGAAGGGGGAAGGACACGAGGAAAAAGCGACCCACGGGGGAGCCTGAGGACAGGGGACAATGATCGGGTCGGGGGGGCTCAGGGGTCCAAAAATCCCAGGGGTGCCACCCCTGGGAAAGGATACCCAGAAACCCCCGTGGGGACCCCTGAACTTGTGGGATGCAGGGAGGGGAAGGACACGCGGAAAAAGCGACCCACGGGGGGCCTGGGGACAGGGGACAATAATGGGGGGGCTCGAGGGTCCAAAAATCCCACCCCTGGGAAGGGACACCCAGAGACCACCCCCTCGCGTGGGGACCCCCGAGCCTGTGGGGTGCCACTTTTGGGGAAGAACACGCGGAAAAAGCGACCCACGGGGAGCCTGGGGGACAGTGGACAACACGAGGGTCGGGGGGGCTCGGAGGGTCCAAACCCTCTGGGGTCCCAGCCCTAATCTGGGAAGGACAGGACCCCGTGGGGACCTCCCAGCCTGTGGGGACACGGATGGGTGGGAGGGAAGACACGCGGAGCGACCACGGGGAGCCTGGGGGACAGGGGACAATAATTGGGTCGGGGGGCTCGGGGGTCCAAAATCCTCCTGGGGTCCCCAACCCTCAATCCCTGGGAAAGGACACCCGGACCCATGTGGGGACCCCCTGAGCCTGCAGGGACGTGTGATGAGTGGGGAAGGGGGAAGGACACGAGGAAAAGCGACCCACGGGGGAGCCTGAGGGACAGGGGACAATGATCGGGTCGGGGGCTCTGGGGGTCCAAAAATCCTGGGGTGCCACCCTGGGGAAAGGATACCCAGAAACCCCTCGTGGGGGACCCCTGAACTTGTGGGATGCAGGGGAGGGGAAGGACACATGGAAAAAGCGACCCACGGGGGAGCCTGGGGGACAGGGGACAATGATTGGGGGCTGAGGGGGTCCAAAATCCCACCCCTGGGGAAGGGACACCCAGAGACCACCCCCTCGCGTGGGGACCCCCTGAGCCTGTGGGGTGCCACTTTTGGGGAAGAACACGCGAAACGACCCACGGGGGAGCCTGGGGACAGTGGACAACACGAGGGTCGGGGGCTCGGGGTCCAAACCCTCCCTAGGGGTCCCCAACCCTCAATCCCTGGGGGAAAGGACACCCAGGACCCCCGTGGGGACCTCCCGAGCCTGTGGGGACACGGAATGGGTGGGGAAGGGGGAAGGACACGCGGAAAGCGACCCACGGGGAGCCTGGGGGACAGGGGACAATAATTGGGTCGGGGGGCTCGGGGGTCCAAAATCCCTCAATTCGTGGAGGAAAAGGACACCCAGGACACCCAGAGACCACCCCCTCGCGTGGGGACCCCCTGAGCCTGCAGGGACGTGTGATGGGTGGGGAAGGACACATGGAAAAGCGACCCCCGGGGAGCCTGGAGGGACAACACGAGGGTCAGGGGGCGGGGGGCTCGGAGGGGTCCAAAATCCCGGGGTGCCACCCCTGGGGAAGGGACACCCTGAAATCCCCGCGTGGGGACCCCCGAGTCTGCAGGGACGTGTGATGGGTGGGGAAGGGGGAAGGACACGCGGAAAAGCGACCCCCGGGGAGCCTGGGGGACAGGGGACAATGATGGGGTCGGGGGGCTCGGGGATCCAAAATCCCTCAATCCCTGGGGAAAGGACACCCAGAGACCACCCCCCCCTCGCGTGGGGACCCTCGAGCCTGTGGGATTCCCCCCCCGGGTCAGGGTGGGCTCGGGGGGGTCCAAAAACCCCCGGGGGTGCCACTTTTGGGGGAAGGACACGTGGAAAAAGCGACCCACGGGGAGCCTGAGGGACAGGGGACAATGATCAGGTCGGGGGTCCAAAACCCCGGGGTGCCACTTTTGGGGAAGGGACACCCTGAAATTCCCCGTGGGGACCCCCGAGCCTGTGGGGTGAGAGGGGAGGGGAAAAGCGACCCCCGGGGAGCCTGAGGGGACAGGGGACAACGATCGGGTCGGGGGGGCTCGGGGTCCAAAACCCCTCCCTGGGGGTCCCCAACCCTCAATCCCTGGGGAAAGGACACCCAGGACCCCCGTGGGGACCCCCGAGCCTGTGGGGTGAGAGGGGAGGGAAAAGCGACCCCAGGGGAGCCTGGGGACAAGGGACAATAATTGGGTCAGGGGTCCAAAAACCCCAGGGTGCCACTTTTGGGGAAGGACACGCGGAAAAGCGACCCCCGGGGAGCCTGAGGGGACAGGGGACAATAATCGGGTCGGGGGGCTCGGGGGTCCAAAACCCCCTCCCCTGGTGGTCCCCAACCCTCAATCCCTGGGGAAAGGACACCCAGGACCCCCGTGGGGACCCCCCGAGCTTGTGGGGACACGGAATGGGTGGGGAAGGGGGAAGGACACGCGGAAAAGCGACCCCGGGGAGCCTGAGGGACAGGGGACAATAATTGGGTCGGGGGACTCTGGGGTCCAAAACCCCGGGGGCCACTTTTGGGGAAGGACACGCTGGAAAAGCGACCCACGGGGGAGCCTGAGGGGACAGGGGACAATGATCGGGTCGGGGGGCTCGGGGGTCCAAAACCCCATCCCTGGGGGTCCCCAACCCTCAATCCCTGGGGAAAGGACACCCGGGACCCCCGTGAGGACCCCCTGAGCCTGTGGGGACACGGAATGGGTGGGGAAAGGGGAAGGACACGCGGAAAAGCGACCCCGGGGAGCCTGCGGGGAGACGGGACAATGATTGGGTCGGGGTCCAAAAACCTCCGCGGGTGCCACCCCTGGGGAAAGGATACCCAGAAACCCCTCGTGGGGACCCCTGAACTTGTGGGATGCAGGGGAGGGGAAGGACACGCGGAAAAGCGACCCTGGGGAGCCTGAGGGACAGGGGACAATACGAGGGTCGGGGGGCTCGGGGGGTCCAAAAATCCCGGGGGTGCCATCCCTGGGGAAGGGACACCCTGAAATCCCTCGCGTGGGGACCCCCGAGTCTGCAGGGACGTGTGATGGGTGGGAAGGGGGAAGGACACGCGGAAAAGTGACCCACGGGGGAGCCTGGGGGACAACACGAGGGTCAGGGGCGGGGGCTCGGAGGGGTCCAAAACCCCCGGGGGTGCCACCCCTGGGGGAAGGGACACCCTGAAATTCCCCCGTGGGGACCCCCCCGAGCTTGGTGGGGACACGGAATGGGTGGGGAAGGGGGGGAAGGACACGCGGAAAAAGCGACCCGCGGGGGAGCCTGAGGGGACAGGGGACAATAATCGGGTCGGGGGGGTCCAAAAACCCCATCCCTGGGGGTCCCCGGCCCTCAATCCCTGGGGGAAAGGACACCCGGGACTCCCGTGGGGACCCCCCCGAGCCTGTGGGACCCCCACCCTGGGTCAGGGTGTGGTCGGGGGGGTCCAAAAACCCCCACGGGTGCCATTTTTGGGGGGGTCCTCAACACCCCCTGGGGGTCCAAAAACTCCGGGGGTGTCACCCCTGGGGGGTCTCCAATCCCTCCATCCCTGGGGGGGGGTCCCAATTTTGGGGGTCCCAATTCAAGGGGTTCTCAACCCCTCCATCACTGGGGGGGTCCCCAAAACCCCCAGGGGGTCCCAACTTTGGGGGTCCCAATTTTGGGGGTCCCCAATTCAGGGGGGTCCCCAATCCCTCCATCCCTGGGGGGGTCCCCAATTCAGGGGGTGCCATTTTTGGGGGTCCCCAATCCCTCCACCCCTGGTGGGTCCCAACTTCGGGGGTCCCAATTCAAGGGGTCCCCAATTCCTCCATCCCTGGGGGTCCCAATTTTGAGGGGTCCTCAATTCATGGGGTCCCAATTTTGGGGGTCTCCAATTCAGGGGGTCCCCAATTCCTCCATCCCTGGGGGGTCCCAATTTTGGAGGTCCCAATTCAGGGGATCCCCAACCCCTTCATCCCTGGGGGGGTCCCCAATTCAGGGGGTGCCATTTTTGGGGGTCCCCAACCCCTCCATCCCTGGGGGGGTCCCAATTCAAGGGGTCCCAATTTAGGGGCTCCCCAACCCCTCTATCCCTGGGGGGTCCCCAATTCAGGGGGGTCCCCAATCCCTCCATCCCTGGGGGGTCCCCAATTCAGGGGGTGCCATTTTTGGGGGTCCCCAATTCAGGGGGTCCCCAACCCCTTCATCCCTGGGGGGTCCCAACTTTGGGGGTCCCAATTTAGGGGGGTCCTCAATTCAGGGGGTCCCAATTTTGGGGGTCCCCAAACGCCCCCTCCCTCCATTCCTTGGGGGTCCCCAATTCAGGAGGTCCCCAATTCAGGGGGTCCCAATTTTGGGGGTCCCCAATTCAGGGGGTCCCCAACCCCCCCCTCACCCTGATGCTCCTCCTCTTCCTCTTCCTCCTCCTCTTCTTCCTCCTCCTCCTCCTCCCCTCCCCCCTGGTGGTTGCCATGGCGACGCCCCCAGGGCTGTGGATGGGCTGGGTTGCCATGGAGACGGCCCTGGGGGTGACGGTTGCCATGGTTACCGCCCAGGTTGCCATGGAGACCCTCCAGGAGGTTGTGCTTGGGTTGGTTGCCATGGAAACCGGGGGGATGGAGGAGGTTGCCCAGGGCTTTGCTGTGGTTGCCATGGAAACCCTGCAGGAGCTCCTGGAGCTTGGAGGGGTTGCCATGGTGACCATGATGGGGGTTGCCATGGAGACCCTCGTGGTGGTTGCCGTGGTTGCCATGGTGACCCAGGGGGTGGTGGTTGCCATGGAGACCCTCGTGGTGGTTGCCATGGAGACCCTCAGGATGCTTCTCATGGGGGTCCCCATGGTGACCGTGGTGGTGGTTGCCATGGAGACCCTCGTGGTGGTCCCCATGATGCTTCTCGTGGTTGCCATGGAGACCATGATGGTTGCCATGGAGACCCTCGTGGTGGTTGCCATGGAGACCCTCAGGATGCTTCTCCTGGTGGTCATCATGGTGGTCGTTGCCATGGTGACCATGGAGACCATGGGGATGTTTCTCATCATGGTGGTTGCCATGGAGACCGTGGTGGTTGCCATGGAGACCCTCGTGATGCTTCTCCTGGTGGTCACCGTGGTGGTTGCCATGGAGACCCTCGTGGTGGTCCCCGTGATGCTTCTCGTGGTGGTGCTGGTTGCCATGGTGACCGTGGAGACTGTGGTGGTTGCCATGGTGGTTGCCATGGAGACTGTGATGCTTTTCATGGTGGTGGTTGCCATGGAGACCCTCGTGGTGGTTGCCATGGAGACCCCCGTGGTGGTTGCCATGGAGACCCTCGTGATGCTTCTCCTGGTGGTCACCGTGGTGGTCTCCATGGTGACTGTGGTGGTTGCCATGGAGATTGTGATGCTTCTCATGATGATCATCATGGTGGTTGCCACGGTGACCATGGTGGTTGCCATGGAGACCCTCGTGATGCTTCTCACCATGGTGGTTGCCATGGAGACCATGGTGGTTGCCATGGAGACCCTCATGATGCTTCTCATGGTGGTGGTCGCCATGGTGGTTGCCATGGAGACCCTCGTGGTGGTCTCCATGGTGACCGTGGTGGTTGCCATGGAGACCCTCATGATGCTTCTCCTGATGATCACCATTGTGGTTGCCATGGAGACCATGGTGGTTGCCATGGAGACCCTCATGATGCTTTTCATGGTGGTGGTTGCCATGGTGACCGTGGTGATGGTCCTGGTGGTCTCCATGGTGGTCTCCGTGGTGGTCTCCGTGGTGGTTGCCGTGGTGGTTGCCATGGTGACGGGAGCCGTTGCCATGGAGACGCAGCTGCAGCTCCAGGGCCCCGATTTTCTTCTGCAGGGCCTCGCGCAGCCCCGACGCCTTCCCGCCCTGGGGGGGGGCCAGGGGGGGCCATGGGGGGACCCCCAGAACCCCAAACTGACCCACAGACCCCTCAGGGGACCCCCAGACCTCCCAGTGACCCCCAGACCTCCCAGTGACCCCCAGACCCCAAACTGCCCCATGGACCCCCAAACTGACCCACAGACCCCTCAGGGGACCCCCAGACCTCCCAGTGACCCCCAGTGACCCCCAGACCCATAAACTGCCCCATAGACCCCTCAGGGGACCCCCAGACCTCCCAGTGACCCCCAGTGACCCCCAGACCCCCCCAAACTGACCCACAGACCCCTCAGGGTACCCCCAGACCTCCCAGTGACCCCCAGACCTCCCAGTGAGCCCCAGACCCCCAAACTGACCCACAGATCCCTCAGGGGACCCCAGACCTCCCAGTGACCCCCAGACCTCCCAGTGACCCCCAGACCCCCAAACTGACCCACAGACCCCTCAGGGGACCCCCAGACCCTCCAGTGACCCCCAGACCCCAAACTGCCCCATGGACCCCCAAACTGACCCACAGACCCCACCCAGACCCCAAACTACCCACCCAGACCCCAAACTGCCCCATGGACACCCAAACTGACCCACAGACCCCTCAGGGGACCCCCAGACCTCCCAGTGACCCCCAGACCCCCAAACTGCCCCATGGACCCCACCCAGACCCCCAAACTGCCCCCAGACTCTCCCCAGTGACCCCCAGGGACCCCAGACCCCCAAACTACCCCATAGAACCCCCAGTGACCCCCAGTGACCCCCAGACCCCCAAACCACCCCCAGACCCCCAGTGACCCCCAATTGACTCCTAATCCCTCCCAGTGACCCCCATTGACCCCCAGACCCCAAACCACCCCAGTGACCCCCAATTGACCCCTAACCCCTCCCAGTGACCCCAATTGACCCCAGCCCCCTCAATGACCCCTCAACCCCCAAATTCCCCACAGACCCCCAACTCCCCTCCCCTCCCCCAGCCCTCCCCCTCCCCGGGCTATTTTGGCCTCATTAATCCCCCGGGTTAATCAGCTCCAGGTTAATGAGGTCAAGGGGGAGGGGCATGTCTGGGACTCCCCTCCCCCTTCCCCTCCCCTTCCCCTCCCCCTCAAAGCGGATCAGGGGTAAAGCCGCGAGGAGGGGAGGTGAACCTCCCAGACCCCTCCCCTTTCCTCCCCCTCTCCCTTCCCCTCCCTCTTTTCCCTCTCCCTCCCCTCCCCTTTCCCTCCTCTCTCCTTCCCCTCCCTCTTTCCCTCTCCCTCCTTTCACTTTCCCTTCCCTCTCCCTCCCTTTCCTCCCTTTTCCCTTTCCCTCCTCTCCCCCCTCCCCTCCTCCCTTCTCTCCTCCCTTCTCCCCTCCTTTTCATTTCTCCTTCCCTCTCCTCCTTCCCCTCCCTCTTTCCCTCTCCCTCCCTTTCTCACCTTCCCCTCCCTTCTCTCCTCCCTCTCCCCTCCTCTTTTCCTCCCTCTTTTTCTCTCTCCTCCCTCTCCCCTCCCTCTCCCTTCCCCTTCCCCTCCCTCTCCTTCCCCTTTTCCTCCCTCTCCTCCTTCTCCCCACCCCTTCCCTCCTCCTCTCCTCCCTCTCTCCTCCCTCCTCTCCCCCCTCCTCTCCTCTCCTCTCCTCTCCTCTCCTCCTCTCTCCTCCTCCTCTCCTCTCCTCTCTCCTCCCTCCTCCTCCCCTCCTCCTCCCTCCCTCTCCTCTCCTCCTCTCCCTCCTCCCCTCCCTCCCTCTCCTCTCCTCCCTCCTCCCCTCCTCTCCTCTCCCCTCCCTCCTCTCTCCTCCTCCTCCTCCTCCTCCCTCTCCTCTCCTCTCTCCCTCCTCCCTCTCCTCTCCTCTCCTCCTCTCTCCTCCTCTCCTCCTCCCTCTCCCCTCCCCTCCCTCTCCTCCTCCCTCCTCCCTCCTCTCCCTCCTCCTCCCTCTCCCTCTCCCCTCCTCCTCTCCCTCTCCTCTCCCCTCTCCTCTCCCTCTCCCTCTCCTCCCTCTCCTCTCCTCTCCTCCTCCTCTCCTCTCCCCTCCCTCTCCTCCCTCTCCCCTCCCTCCCCTCCTCTCCCTCTCCCTCTCTCCTCTCCTCCTCTCCTCTCCCTCCCCTCTCCTCTCCTCCTCTCCTCTCCTCTCTCCTCCCTCCTCCCTCTCCCTCTCCCCTCCTCTCTCCTCCTCTCCCTCTCCTCTCCTCCTCTCCTCCTCTCTCCCTCCCTCCTCCTCTCCCTCTCCTCTCCTCTCCTCTCCCTCCTCTCCTCCCCTCTCCTCCTCTCCCCTCCCCTCCCTCCCTCTCCTCCTCTCCCCTCCCTCTCTCCTCTCCTCTCCTCTCTCCTCTCCCTCCCTCTCCCTCTCCCTCTCCTCCTCTCTCCTCTCCTCCCTCCCCTCCCCTCCTCTCCCTCCCTCCTCTCCCCCCTCTCCTCCTCCCTCTCCCCTCCCCTCCTCCTCCCTCTCCCTCCCTCCTCTCCTCCTCTCCCCTCCCTCTCCTCCTCCTCTCTCTCCCTCTCCCTCCTCCCTCTCTCCCCTCTCCCCTCCTCTTCCTCACCTCTCCCCTCCCTCTCTCCTCTCCCTCCTCCTCTTCTCCTCCCTTTCCCCTCCCTCTCCTCCTTCTCCCCTCCCCTTTTTCTCACCTTTCCCTCCCCTCCCCTCCTTTTCCTCCTTCTCCCCTCCCCTTTTCTCACCTTTCCCCCTCCCTCCCCTCCCTCTCCCCTCCCCTCCCTCCTTTCCTCCCTCTCCCTCCCCTTTCCCTCCTTTCCCCTCCCTCTTTCTCCTCTCCCCTCCCTTTTCCCCTCCCCTCACCTGCAGCCTCCTCAGCCTCTCCTCAGCCCCTCCAGGGCTCTCAGCGACTCCTTCCTCCTCCTCCTCCTCCTCCTCCTCCCCCTCCCCCTCCCCGTGGGGAGTCCGTAGGAGTGGGGAGGGGTGCTGTGGGTGTTGGGGGAGGTCGGAGAGGAGGGTCCTGGCACCGTGCCAGCTTGGCCTGCCATCTCCCTGCCCGCCTCGCTGCGCCAGCTCCGCCTCCCGCGCCCGCACCAGCAGCTCCCGCAGCCACAGCACCTCCCCCTCCCCTCCCCACCCCTCCCGACCCTCCCCTGCCACCCCCGCCCTCCCCCCCGCGGCCGCCCCGGGGAGGGCGTGCACGAAGCGCGGGGAGGGGCCTCGCAGGGGAGGGGGAGGGGAGGAGGAGGAGGAGGAGGGGAGGGATGGGGGGAGGAGGGAGGAGGAGCATGGTGGGTGTGGGTGGGGGTGGGAGTGTTGGAGGCTGGAAAGGGGAGGGGGAGGAGGAAGAAGAAAGGGGGTGGTTAGAAGGAGGGAGGGAGGCGATGGGAGGAGAGACCCCTCCCCACACACCTGAGACCCCTCCCCACACCTGAGACCCTCCCCCACACCTGAGACCCCTCCCCATCACAGACACACACTGAGACCCCTCCCCATCTAGACCCCTCCCCCACCTGAGACCCCTCCCCACACCTGAGACCCCTCCCCATCACAGACACACCTGAGACCCCTCCCCCACACCTGAGACCCCTCCCCATCACAGACACACCTGAGACCCCTCCCCATCTAGACCCCTCCCCCACCTGAGAGCCCCTCCCCACACCTGAGACCCCTCCCCCATCACAGACACACCTGAGACCCCTCCCCACACCTGAGACCCCTCCCCCATCACAGACACACCTGAGACCCCTCCCCCTCCTGGACACACCTGAGACCCCTCCCCCACCTGAGACCCCTCCCCCATAAAAACACACCTGAGACCCCTCCCCCAATCTGAGACCCCTCCCCCTCTCCCAGGTGTGTCACCTCCTCTCCCCCTCGTGCCCCTCCCCCTCCTCCTCCTCCAGGGTCTCTCCTTCCTCCCCTCCCCCTCATTCTTCCCCTCCCCCTCACCTGTGTCCCCCCCGCCCCTCCCCCTCACCTGCGTCCCCCCCGCCCTCCCCTCACCTGTGTCGCCCCCTCCCCTTTCCCGCCAGCGGCCGCCGCCTTGCTCAGTTCCTCTTAATGGTCTTTACTGGGATTTACTGGGAGGGGGAGGAGCGAGGAGGGATCAGACGGCTCAGGGAGGGGGAGGGGCAGCTCAAGGAGGGGAGGGGGAGGACGAGGAGGAGCAGCTGGGACCAGTGAGGGGGAGGGTCTTCTCTCCCAGTTCAAACCAGTACGGACCAGTTTGTGAGGTCTTTCCCTCCCAGTTCAAACCAGTATGGACCAGTTTGGGGTCCCTCCCTCCCAGTTCGAACCAGTTTGAGGGGTCCTTCCCTCCCAGTTCAAACCAGTACGGACCAGTTTGGGGGTCCCTCCCTCCCAGTTCAAACCAGCTTGGGGTTCCCAGTTTCCCCCAGCCCCTCCCAGTCCAAACCAGTTGCACTCCCAGTACAATCCAGACCGGTAATATTTTAATGCCCCTCCCCCTTTCATCTTCCCGCCCCTCCCCACCCCTCCCCACCCTCGCCCCTCCCCCACCTCCAAATCCGCCCCTCCCCAGCCCGAGGGGGGAGGGAGGTCGTGCCAGGACCCCCAATTGGGGAGTGGGGAGGGCAGAGTGAGAGTTGGGGGAGAACCTCAAACCCCCAAAATTTGGCACCGGGTGGGGAGGGGCCCCTCGACCCTCCCCACCCCCAAAAGTAGAAAAAAAGGGGAGGGGAAGGGGGACAAACAGCCCCTCCCCCAAATTGGGCCCCCGACCCTCCCCAAATTTGGGGGCGGGAGGAGGAGGGTTCAGGGTGTGGGGAGGGGCTTCTGGACCTCCCCTCCCCCAAAAAAAGGGGTCAGTTCTCGATAGGGGCTGGAAAATAAAAAGGGGGGAGGGAGGGAAGGAGGAGGGTCAGGGACCCTCCCCACCCCCCAAAAAAATTTCCCTACCCCAAAATATCTTAAAGACCCCCCAAACCCCAGAATTTGACCCCAGACCCCCAAAATCCCTCAGGACCCCCAAAATCCCTCCAGGACCCCCACCCACCACCACAGTCCCCCAAATCCTCCCCAGGACCCCCAAAATCCCCCAGAATCTCCCTCAGACCCCCAAATTTGAACCCCAGGAGCCCCCAAAACCCCCAAATTCCCTCAGGATCCCCAAATCCCCCAGGACCCCAAAATCCCCCCAGGACCCCCAAAATCCTCCCCAAAACCCCCAAATCCTCCCCAGGACCCCCAAAACCCCCAAATTCCCCAAAATCCCCCAGGACCCCCAAATCCCCCAGAACCCCCAAAATCCCCCCAGAATCCCCCAAAATCCCCCAGGACCCCCAAATCCCTCCCAGGACCCCCAACCCCGGATCCCCCTAAACCCCCAAAATCCCCCAGGACCCCCAAAATCCCCCAGGACCCCCAAATCCCCCAAAGCCCCCTCCCCACTCACAGGGCCGTGGGTCTCTCGGTCTGGGGGGCCCCGGGAGCTCCAGGCAGGGAGACGACGAATCGAGACCCTCCCCACCCAGGGGGCTCAGGGAGTCTCCCCCTCCCCCTCCTCCTCCTCCTCCTCCTCCTCCCATTCCAGCAGCACCCCTGAAAGGGGAAGGGCAGCGTCAGGACCCCAGACCCCCAAAATCCACCCCTGACCCCCAAATTCACCCCCAAAACCCCAAAAATCCTCAACCCCCCCACCCCAGACCCTCTCAAAGCCCCCAAAATCCCCAAATCCACCCCAAAATCACCCTAAAATCACCCCCAAAATCACCCCCAAATCCACCCCAGACCCCCCAAATCCATCCCAGACCCCCCAAATCCCCCAAATCCCCCCAAATCCCCCAAAATCCCTCCCAAAATCCCCCAGGACCCTCCCAGACCCCCCTTGCTCAGGGACCCCTCAATAATTCAAAGACCCCCCATAAATCAGGGACCCCCCAGACCCCCCTTCCTCAGGACCCCCAAATGCCCCCGTTACCCACCCGAGCCGCCAGGGCATCGCGGAGCCCTCGGGGCCGCTCTGGCCGCTCAACTCGTTGGTCGGAATCTCCTGCAGGGAGGGGCGGAGCTAGGGTGGCCACGCCCCAGGACCCCCAAATCCACCCAAATTCACCTCCAAAATCCACCCCAAGGACCCCCAAATTCCCCCAAAATCCCCAAATCACCCAAATTCCCCCCCAAATCCACCCAAATTCACCTCCAAAATCCACCCCCAAGGACCCCCAAAATCCCCTCTTGGAGACACCAAAATCACCCAAATTCCCCCCCAAAATCCACCCCAAAATCCACCCAAATTCCCCCCCAAAATCCACCCAAAATCCACCCAAATTCCCTCCCAAACCCCACTCAAATTCCCCCCAAAATCCACCCAAATTCACCCCCAAATCCACCCAAATTCCCCCCAAAATCCACCCAAATTCACCCCCAAAATCCACCAAAATTCACCAAATTC